CCCGGTGGTTTGGCTTTAAGCGGTGCTTCTCCTGGCAGCCGTCGCCTTCGCCGCTTCGGAAGCAAAAGCGAGACGTAGCCTGCCGAACCGGCCTTCGTTGGTTGCCTGTCGTTGAGAGGTCACCCTTGTTTCTCCCCAGTGAGTTAGTAGCGAGAAGACGTTACATCAGGTATCTTTAATCAGCTGTGATGTGCTTAGCGACGTAGATAAAGAAGATAAATAGTCAGTAAAATTTGAAGGATGAAACGGGCTATTAATATAACGGGGAAAAAAAGGACCTGCAAACGTGCTGTGAAGAGTGAAGTACACCGGGAACGAGCTCTAAACTCCTCAGGAGTTTGAGTTAGAATCATAGAATCATAGAATCATTAAGGTTGGAAGAGACCTCCAAGATCATCGAGTCCAACTGTCAACCCAACACCCCCATGCCCACTAAACCATGTCCCTAAGCGCCTCATCTACCCGTCTTTTAAATACTTCCAGGGATGGTGACTCCACCACTTCCCTGGGCAGCCTGTTCCAATGTTTAACCACTCTTTCAGTAAAGACATTTTTCCTCACGTCCAATCTAAACCTCCCCTGGCGCAACTTGAGGCCATTTCCTCTCGTCCTTTCACCAGTTACTTGGGAGAAGAGACCAACCCCCACCTCGCTACAGCCTCCTTTCAGGTGGTTGTAGAGAGCAATGAGGTCTAAGAAAGTTGGAAGTTCCAACTCTCTCCCCGAGTTGGAAATGTTGTGGCACATCTGAACTGGGCTATGCCAAGCCGAGTCTTACTTAGCCGCGAGACTGTAGCCTTTGTTGGGCGGGTTCCTCCCCTTCTGCTTACTCAGTTTTGGAATGGGGGGGCGCGCCTATTCGGGAATCCCTTATCCCTTTACTGACCTGGTCGCAGAGACGCAGGCTGTACCCCACTTCGGAGCTGCGCCCCTCCTCCTGCTTTAGAAGCTCTTTCAGCCTGGCGCGCTGTTCCTGTCCGGCTCTCCGGCGGGCTGCCAGGGCCCCGCATCCCGGGTTGCCATGGAGACCTGCGCTGCCGCCCCAGGAGTTAGAAGAACGTCCTGCGCCTCGCATCTCAAAAAGATCAGTTAAGAGGTTCCAGTCGTCCTCCTTAAATTTTGTCTGAAAGCTTTCTACCTTTTGTTTAAGGAATAATTTTATTAGAGCTGAAAATGCCAGCAAAAAGGTCATCCTCGCAATGCAATCCTTCTGAGGTCTTCGCTTATATATTTTTAATTGTGTGTCTAAACTAATTTGTAGGCCTGTGCTGGTGTTCCTTCTTACTAGTTCTATTAATGGTTACCTGGATTTCTGGACTGTGGTTATGCATCCCTCTTCGGCGGGAAGGACTTTATACTTTCAGTTACTTCCCTATAAAGCTGAGACAAAACTTACCTGAACCTTAAGATAGCGTCATTGGACTAGAAGAAACGTATGTGGGTCTTGTCTGTTGCTGTATTTAAAATGCTGTTATTTAAATACTCTTGCAACTCTTTCCGGCAGCTTTTAAGATTGTACATTCCT